GAAAGGCGTGCACGGGAAAGCAAAGAGAAACGTGGCACAAAGGAGCGCTTCTGTTCGTCGCAACTCCGGCGTGGGGAGTATTTACAGCGGAAATAATCATCACGCCAGCTTTAACAGAGGCTGTCAAATAATACGGCATGACAACAATGCATACAGATAAAAGGATTGGCGTGATTCTGGGATGATTGTGGATGGACATGTGCTGTAGTGTGCTCTCTAAAGGGTTTTCTCCCATCTCACTCACCCCTGCCGCCATCTTCAGGACGAGAGAAAGGAGGAACGGGACGGCGCGGTGCTGACGTATAGCCCAGTCCTGTCGCAGAAAGAATACGTCATAAGGGCGTGAAAGTGAGAGCTGGACGTGCTTGAAATCAGAGAATTTGCTATTGTTTTTGACGCAATTCCAAAGAGTGTGATGTTACTTTTAAAAAACTGTATCTCAGAAGAAATCAGCATGGTTAATCCTTGTGACATTTTCATTGAAAATGTCGACGTTTTAAAACAACAGTGTAGCAATAAGATTATAAGCAATGTTCTTTGTTCTGTGTACCTACCTGCAGCAAGATTTTTTTGGGCTTGTTTATTTGGTAATATCTCTTGGGTTAAAGCATGGAAACTGCCAAATAAGTTTTGTATCAATAACAAAATTAAGGAAGTGTCTTACAAAATACTTCATAGAATTTATCCCACTAAGCATGTTTTGGAAAGGTTTAAGCTTAATATTTCGTATATTAATCAATACCTGTGAATTTTGTGGTCATATTTATTTATTTTTATTACATTTAATGTATTGTACTTTCCAGAAAACATTCGTAATGGGTTTTTAAAGCTGTTTTATGCATGTTGACGTCACCAGCGCTTCGAAACAGAGACTCGTTATTCGAAGCAATTGACTCACTTGATTTGAAGCTTCAGAAAGGTTTGTTTCTCCATCACTAGTGCAACAATCATTACTGCATTACTGTAAGGGGTAGGTGTAGACGTTAATAAAACACAATCTAATCGGTAGAAAATTAAATGTTATTGTTGGAGCTGTATCCCTTCTAGCCATCCTGCGCTGGAGGACAGTTTCAGCTTCATACCTGAATACGCTAATGATTAAATTCGCCATTTATTAGATGAGAGACGGGCTACATCCCCGCCGCGTACCTCGAGAAAATACCGGTGAGATCTCTCATTAAATACATATATACACACACATACAGCGTCCAGTAGGGGGCCCCTGGGCTTTACCTCTTGAGGGGCCCTTCATCAAGAGAACCACAGCCTACATTCACTCCATCTTTATAATCAAAGCTCAAGTTGTCAGCCTTTTATTTTGCAGCTATAAATGTCAAACCTATAGGTCTGTCATAGAAAACACATGCACATAGCCGGACATATTTTACACAGATCTCCTAGCGTTAAATTGCATGTGTTAATGTTAGTTAAATGCACTATGAAATAACATGAAAGAGAGAGAGAGTGAGTGTGTGAGTGTGTGTGTGTGTGTGAAAGAGAAAAAAAAAAGCACTGAAAACATGTAATGCTCTGAAAGCATTGAACTTTATGTAATTTTCTTCCTTTTGTTCTTTTTCTCTGGCACCTAATAATGTTAATTTGATAATGTGAATATGTAATACCTCATGTTCTTGTGGCATTGAATTAATAAAGCATTTAAAAAAAAAAAAAAACACGTGCTTGAAATATTTACTTCCTCTTGTAATGATACAAATATTAAGACACATTTTTCAATCAAAACATAAAATCTCAACTAGAGGAAAATTCTTTTGGAATGCAAAAAATTCTGGCCTGGTCAAATCCTTACAAATTTTGTATTTTGAACAAGGTTAAAGAGGTACATTTCAAAATACTTCACAAAATGTACCCATGTAAAGAAGCTCTTTCTAAGTTTATGTAGCCTACATTGACAATAATTGCATTTTCTTTGACGCACACGAGGGGAGACTTGTCTCATTTATTTTATAATTGTGATTTGTCTTTTATAGATTTTGGACTGATGTTAGTGCCTTTTTATTTGTTCAAAGACATGTTAATTACATGCTCTCTTTAAAAGATGTAATTTGCACTTATTCACACAAAAGCAAAATGACTGAGTATATCGTTAACTTTTACATTTTGCAAGGTAAATATTGCATTCATAAACAAAAAATTGTGAAATGTATACCAATACGTTTACATGCACAATTTTTGGTTCAATAGGACTGAATTAATTCCGATTAGTGAATCTGAATGTAGTGTTTACATGAACGCTAATAAAGTGATCGGGTTGCTGTGCGTGTTTACATGTCACAAGCTTCAAATCGGAATTGATTTTTTTTTTACATGCTCACACTGAACAAATAGTTTCTCACTGTTTGCACATATTAACCACTGTCCTACACTGTTTCTTTATTTGTTTTTAACAGCAGAATTAACATTTATCCATTTATGGATAAATATACGCATATAAACCGCTGTGCCGTGCTGCTCATATTTATCACGCAAATAAAAAATGCCCCTCCCCGCGCCCAAAACGGGTTGCCTGTGGATGAAAATCCAAAACAAGGACTGGTGGGTGGTTGTCCTGCTCCACTTCACAGTTGCCGAGTGAAAGGAGAGTTTTATAATGACAGGACACACATTTATACAACACTTTATTCAAAAGCCGCTCGTTCCGTGCGTCATACGTCATTACGCTATTTCTGCGTCTCTGCACATGCGCAGTTCTTTCAGTTTCGGGGTTCAATCCGATCTAGTGCTTACATGCACTCTCAATCGTACTAGAAAAGGAATAAACCACCCCCTTCAATCCGATCGAGCTCAATCGGATCGATTAAGGTGTTTACATGAAGTCTTTTCAGTCCGATTGAGCCTCAATCCGATTACAAACGGATTATTTGGTTGCATGTAAACGTATCTTAATTTATTTTTATTAGAAATGGAATCTTTGAAAGAGTCTCTAATGTAAATTAATAACAAAAAGAATGATATAGCCTACTGTTAGATTTCATGGAGGAAATATTTTTCTTGTATAGTTCCCCCACTGTAGGCTAGTCCTTGATTTTGTCCTAAGGAAGAAGTAAGGTAATTTGCACTATTGCTTAATTGTTTATATGTATGTTTATTTATTAATTTATTATTACGTTCTTTATTTAATTAGTTATTTTTCCTTCTCTCTTCTCTTAAATGCTGTCTTACAGATTAAGATTGTTCTTCTTTCTTGTGTATGTGACCTTAATTGTTAAAATGTATTGTAATGTTCAATCATTTCTTCAATAAAAAAAGTATGTGCTTTTTCTTATTGGTAAATAAGGTTAAAGAGATTTCTTTTAAGCTTATTCATCAGTACTATCCTGTTAAAACCTTTATTGTGTCAAAAGTTCAAATTAAGTATAAATGTGAACTGTACTTTCTTTGACTCACAACCAGAAACTGTCTTGCATCTTTTTTGGCATTGTGTTCATACAAGAAAACTTTGGCAAGACATTTGCCAGTTCATTGTAAACTTCAAACATAATGACTTTGATCTTTACTTTAAAGAGGTTTTGTTTGGATTTTTCACTTTTGAGAAGCAATATGAAAATGTTTACTTTCTTTGCAACCTCGTTATTTTGCTGGCAAAATATTTTATGCAAGATTAGGAAAGTTACCCCCCATTTTTCTCACTTTCGACTTGTTTCAAGAAGATATTAAGATCTATATTAAATCCTTGTCTACCTCCTGTAACAGGAGGGTTTTTTTCACTTTTGTATTCCCTAAGCAAGTGTTTAAAGGGGTCATATGATGCGATTTCAAGTTTTCCTTTCTCTTTGGAGTGTTACAAGCTCTTGGTGCATAAAGAAGATCTGTAAAGTTGCAAAGACTAAAGTCTCAAATCCAAAGAGATATTCTTTATAAAAGTTGAGTCAGCCACGCCTACCTAAAACGGCTCGTTCTAACACGCCCCCACATGTCTACGTCACTATGTGGAAATATTAGCATAATGCCACCCAAATATGCACGCAAAGAAAGGCGGCGTGGTTTCAGGAACAGCGGTAGTGTTGATGCAGCCATGTCAGGGAGACGCTGTGTTTCAGTGTGAAAGCAAAAGCACTTTATTTGGCCTTCCGGAAGTAGATGCAATTAGGAATCATTGGTTAAGATTTATTTACAACAGAATGCACTGGGTCAGCTGGCCAATCAGAGCAGACTGCGCTTGTCAAAGGAGGGGGCTTTGTTGAAAACGAAGCGTTTGAGAGAGGCGGGGCATAGAGGACCTACAATAATGTACAGTATTTGAAAAATAACGTGTTTTTTGAACATTATAGCATGCCAACATATTCTGTTACACCAAATACACAAAATAATGATCTTTAAAATAGCATCATATGACCCCTTTAATAAATAATAATTATAATAAATTCCTATTTAAGGGAAATGCAGTTGCTCTAATATTTATAAAGGCCTTCCCAGAAGACCACAATTTATGTTCAGTCTCAAAACAGCCTATGACTTTCTTGTTAGGCTATCTTGAAGATTAACATGTTTCTAACATTTGTAATGGACTGTCGTGAGATTCATAGAAAAATTGTATTTGTGCAATGTTAAAAATGGTATATGGGGGGGGGGGGCAATTTTGATCATCTATAAAATGTTGAAATTTAGGGGGAAAAATATAAAAATGTAAAATACTTACACAGAAAATTATTATAGAGATATATGACCCAAAAATTAAAATTTGCTCACCCTCAGGCGATGTACAGTAGATGAGTTTGTAACTGGAAGAATTATGGAGTCATATTTTGCCCATAAGTGAAGGTTTGAACTTAAAAACATCATCTTGATGGATTTGTTTCTTACAAACATGCAGCTTTTCACTTCACCAGATGTTAATTGATGGACTGGAGTGGTGTGGATTACTGTGATGTTTTTATCAGCTGTTTCGACTCTGACGGCACCCATTCACTGCAGAGGATCCACTGGTGAGCAAGTGATATAATGCTCCCATGAAGAAACAAACTCATCTACATCTTGAAAGGCCTGATGGTGAGTACATTTTCTGCAAATGTTCATTTTTGGGGTGAACTATTCCTTTAAATGTTTCAGTAGGCAGTGAGCTACTGTGTGACTGGCATGAAAGGAAGTTTCAATTACAAACATTTGCTGCCAAAGCTGTTGCAGTGATGATATTGTTTTTAGAGTACTGGGGTGCCAATATCAAAATATTAGCAAAAATAAGCAATGCTCACTGTGTGTACTATATATTAAGCCTTTCTTACAAAAGGATCTCAGAACAAGCAATAACTAAAACAAGAAAACCAGACGAAGACACGTTTCAAAATTTTGTGAGCGCTATATTATAAAAGAGAAATATATTCAAGTACAGGCTGGCTGGCATTTAGAAAAATAGCTTTAAAAATTACCTTATATAATAAAGAGATGAATAACTCTAAAAGCAATGTGATGAATGATTACTTTTACCTTCTAATAACATGCTTGTGAACTGGCTTTGCTCACAGGGTCTTTCAGAAGAGCCCAACTGACGATATTTACCCTTTTCTCTGCTGCCTCACTTTAAATTAAACAGTTCAAAGTCTTTCCATCACGTAGAGCCACTTCTGAGCTACATTTCGTTCCCATGTGACTTGACGGACTTGGATATTCTAACATGGGGATAAAAATGACAATAAAAAAAGAGAAAGAACAAAGACAACTTCAGATGAATGGGGAAATAATTACAGTATATACATAAACTATTTAGCATCACCACAGCATTTCATATTTCCCATATTCTTGGCAGAAGAATCAGCTCACAAGACCTAGAAGAATGAGAAAAAGACTCTTAGACAATAGTTGGATAGCACAAAGAAATTAGACAAAGAATAAAAAAAAAGTTACTGAAATGAAATGAATCCGTACCGATATATTATTGTTATTTCAATAATTACATGAACAATAGTTAGTAGTATAAATTATAAATAAATATCAAAGGTATGGCACAGCTAACTGCACGAGTTTCACTGTAAACACAGCTGTGACAGATGTTTTCATTACAAGAAATACATACCCAGGTAGTCATCCATGAGAGATCCAATGGCAAACTAATAAAAAGCAACAAAAAAAGTAATTGAATACTTAAAAACCTTAGGAAAATATTTGTATTAGGGCTGCACGATAAATCGAAATGGAATCGAGATCGCGATTCGACAGAAGCTGCGATTGTCATGCGCATCTTTCAGTGAAGCACGGTTCTGTGATCAGCAGTAAATCTCCATCCAAAGGCCAGAGGGTGCTCTCGTGCTGAAACTCCAAATATGCCTCGCAGAAGAAACCCAGGAAATGCCTATCGCTGCAGCTGAATAAACAGATGTAACTGCTTTTATTGATTCAACGTGACTAATAAACACAAGACTACGGCAATATACGGTTTGTCTGAGTTCTTATTATTATAATTTTCATTAAAATAAAGTATATTTATAATGCAATGCCGTTATCACTGCTTAAATACTATAAAATATGTTGTGTACCTTATTCTGTGTAAGAAGCCACATCATCTCACAGAAGGATTTATTTCAAACACTCGACTGACGTTATGAAGTGAGTTTGGAGTAAAAACATGTTATTAAATGTGGTATTTTCAAATGCTTTCAGATTGAGCAGCATTTACTACACAGAGCCGTAGTTCACTGAGAAGCAATGCAAACAGCTGTGATTATCGTGAACGATTTCTTCGATTTCAGAATCGCGCAATAAAATCATCTGCGATTTTTTTGCATAACTTGTTGTAATGGTCTGGGTGTCTGTCCCTTTAAGACTCTGATTCGGGGTTTCCTCTGCCCCTGCACTCGTGTGTATATGCTGGGGGAAAACACATTGTACTTTCTATCGTTTTGTTGCACCTTCACATTAATACATGGGTTGATGGTGACCTGCATCATGTTTCTTTCTTCCATAACGCACAATAGGTTACACTGTCAGTGAACTACGGCTCTGTGTAGTAAATGCTGCTCCATCTGAAAGCATGTGATGATGATTTACTGCTGATTACAGAACCGGCTTTTTTAACAAAATGCGCATGACAATCGCATTTGATTAATCGTGCAGCCCTAATTTGTATACAAATAGAACTTTTCGAAATATTATTTAGCATATTCAACAAAAGTGACAGGGATTTACAATATCATTCTTATCCACTCGAGTTCCCACAATCTTCAGTCGAATTTCATCATCTTGTTGGATCACAATGTCCTGTTGAAGAAAGCAAACTGAAATGTCTATATTTCTGCAGATGAGGATTTGAATTCAATTAAACAATTCCTAAAGTGATTAATTGAGTCTTACCTCATCGACTGTCTTATAGCATGGAGGATTTGAGTTTGGGTCAAACTCCATCTCAGAGGGAATAGACTAGATACGACAGAAACACAGATAAACGACAATTACAAGTGTCAAATTACTATGATTTGCACAATGACTATTTACACAATTTTATATTTATATGCATATATAGTTCCACGGAAAACCTACATGACGAGAAATGAAACAAGACATGGGGCCAATTTCTGTAAAGAGTCCAACCTGGGAAAAGAAAGAGAGCAAAACATTGTATTGAGGTCGGAAAAATCACTCGCAGGGACAGTGAGTTTTATCAAAACCGTATAAATTATCATTGAGCGGGTAACTTCTTTATACAAGGGCTCATGAATGTTCTGATCTGTCTCCAATGAACTTAGAATGAAAATAACAGCACTAACAGACGATAAAATGGACCCGTACTTTGTTAACCTGGGTGACGACAGCATCCACAACTTCTCCCTTGAAGGGACGGAACACGATGGCCTTGTATTTGACGGGATACAGCACAAAACCTCTGCCCGGCTGGATAACACCTGCTCCAATATTATCGATTGTGGTTACTGCAATAACAAAGCCATACCTGTGGAACAAAAGACAGACATTAGAGATCCATATTTCATAATATTCAGTGAAAAAAGTCAGATCTCTAACTTTCTGTCAGACTTACTTCCCCGTACATGTTCCCTCCACCTCAGTGAACAGCTTCTGTTTGACTGTGTTCAAAAGGTTTGGTCCAAAGTATCGTGGGTGGAGGAGAATCTCATGCTCCAAAGAGATCTATAGTGATGGTTTATTATTGAGAAAACAACAATAAATACAGAAAATATTGATGGGCATTCATAACTATCGTGACAACAAGCCACATAAGGCTAATCGAAAATGTATTAAAGTACGTATCTAGAACCTGTTTGCATTAACAAACACTATACATTAACAATTACATTGACCGCTTTGTACTTTTTATAAAATAAGGCAAATAAGCATAATATACATCAATCTAAAATGGCAATATTTGACTAGCTAGCTGCACTACATCCAGAGAACAAACAGCATCAGTGCATATACGAGCCGAATATATGGAATTACTGAAGTACATTTTACACGTAAAACCGAAACAGTTACGAACTTACGTGATAAAACATCTCTTAAGAGTTTTTATCTTCCAAAAGTCTTGATTTTAAATTTAAAAAGCCGCAAGTATTGATTTTTGCGTATTCAGGCGCCGCCACTCAAAAGCACGAAAACAGCTACAAGAGTGTTTCCGGCGACTTTTCAAATTAAAAGTCATGCAATTTCCTAGAAGATGTTTTCCACAATATACTGTAGTTCGCATTAAAAAATGTCCAACCTCGAGTCAAACAGACATTTCTTGAGCTATTTATTTTATAAAACAGCTATTTATTATTTTATTTGTTTTGTTTTTGTTAAATATTTATTTTAGCTATTCAAAATTTGGAAAATACATTTAAAAAAACCCGAATTATGTGATTTTGTAGCAATAAATATTATTAAAATAAGTTTATTTAAATGCCTTTCTGTCATGATGTATAAAGGGCCCAAAGGATGTTAGGCTACTTCATGCGTGTCACAGCTTTAATTAATATTTAAATCCATCAGTCCATATATTTTATTTAATGCTACATTGCACCATTTTATACATTATAATTAATATCACACTACACGCGGGTTCACACTACATGGGGCACAAATAAATATTATGGTTTTGTTAATTAAAATCAGATATTAATTAATTAATTATGCCTATATATATATATATATATATATATATATATATATATTACTACACTGTAAAAAATACGTGTAATTTTACTATATATGTTACATTTTAATACTTTAATTGTAAGATACAGTGGAAAAAGTTGAGACCTCTGAGGTGTAAAAGGCCAAAAATACAATTTTTGAGGAGTTTAATGTGTTTAAAACTAGATAGCCTACTGTTCATGCTAGGTTAATTTGATGTTTTTAACATATTTGTTAGGTCTCACAGCAAAACCTTGTATTTATTTATTTATTTTCATGATAGTACCCCTAAAAAGATAACTGGAATATTACAAAACATAGTGACGTTTACTGCCAATAAAATATTTTATTTATTATTTTTTTAAACATTAAAGTCAAAGTCAAAGTCAAAGTCTGCTTTATTGTCAATTCTGCCACATGTACAGCACTTACATAGAGAGAATTGAAATTGCGTGCATACAGTTAACACTTAACACTAACAGTAGACATAATACAGATAAATACAGTTTAAAAAATATATAAAATACAAACTATACAATATATAAATAAGAATATATTTTTTTTTTTGTAAAAAAAAAACAAAAACTTAGTTTTACTAACCCACTTAGTTACAATTTTTACTCAATCAATTGCAATGTCTCAAGACTCGTCTTGAACGCTTACACACAAAATACAAGACAAGATATGACCACAAGAGGTCAATGCAATTCCAAAGTTACGCAATGTGCGGCCAATGTAGTATCTTTGAAGCTCTTCTAACGGGACAAGCGGTT